AGGCATATCTACGGTAGGTGCTTATAGTAAGGTATATATGAAGGAGTTTCTAAAAGGATGCGTTGCGCGTAACATCCCGTGGTAGTGGAATTTTTTATCAGCTATAAATTCGAAAGCATAAGTCACATGAAATTGAAATTTGGTATGCAGAGATATTTAAGGTAGGCGTTTATAGTAAGGTATATATAAATGGGTTTGTCAAGGGGGCGTGTCACATCCCATACACGTGGAATTTTTTACCAGCCTTAAGTTGGGAACCATAAGCCGCATGAATCTGAAATTTGGTATGTAGACATATATATGGGAGGTGTCTAGAATAAAGTCGGATATTCAAAACTGTGTTTTTTCGAAACCTTACAGTCTTTAGACCATTTCGAAATGGAAAATTAAATCATTTTATTGATCTCGCGATGCCGTTAAACGAAACATGTTCATGTATAATAAATAAAACTATTTCTGAAAAAAGCATTCTACCGGAAAAGTGCAGCTATACTAAAATAGCTAAGCGGATAGGAAGCTAAACGGAATGTACCATAGAAGACTAATTTTAATTTAAAGTTCTATGGTTACCTTAATCCACCTAATAGTATTAATGGAACAAGATTTGTAGTACGGAAAGTGTTGATTAATATATGGGGCGTTCCTTACCAAAATGGACGGGGTTCACACTTCATGTGTTTTATTTGTTTAAAATTTAAAGGCTTGATGGATTNGCTTGATTAATACATTTTCAAAAACTTTGCAGCACAAAAACAAATCGATTTAATAGTTTTCCAAATATCTCGAGAACGGGGCGAGGAAAAAATATGAAAAATATTAGTTGAAGTACGATAAAGCGAAAAGTATGGCATATAAGGATTCCTTAATTTAAACAGAGAGAAAAAAAAAATTCTCCTCTATTTTATGCTGAACTGAAAATTTGTATTACTGTTTTATATTTTGATTTGTTTACCCCGAACGACGTCGGGTTAGGGTTATCACAGAATCCATGGTAGTCCGAGTTTTGGTAAAATTTACGAAAACGCGATGACTGAATCCGAATTGCTAAGAACGTGATTCAGAGCGTAGCTATTCGAATTCAATGATAACATCGGACTACGATGGATTCTGTGATAGCCCTGATTCCTTGACGAATCTATGAATTTTACTTTAGTACCGATTGTTGGTGGATACAGTATATTTGCCCGATCAGATTCTATTAAACATGCCAAAGCGAAAGGAGCGAACGCAACTGGCGGTTACATATTTGAAGGTTTTCATAATTATGGGCTCAGCGCGACACAAATAGATGCATCTCAGTTAATAACTGTGATGACTCATTGTTTGAAGGAACTACCTGCTGACAAACCAAAAATGTTGCCTGGGGCATACACACCACCAGTAATATTGGAACTAATATCTTTAGGAGTAGATATTTTCGACACGTCTTATGCCTACTGTGCTACAACGAATTTTAAAGCGTTCACATTTAGTCTTGATATAACAGACGAAAACAGCGCAATTATGGATCCATTCTTGGACATAACTAATGATGGGTAATATTTCATTTTTAAACTATATTTTAAATTATCACAATGTGTTTCTGAACAATTTTTATCTATGCAGTCTAAAGGAGGATTTTACGCCAATATTAGCAAGTTGTTCTTGCCTAACTTGCAAGAAGCACACGCGTGCTTATTTATACCACCTGTATAAAACCAATGAGTTGCTTGGGCCAATCTTAGCAATGATGTAAGTAGCAAATATTATAAAAATACTTAATTTAATATTTTTAATTGTTTTTAGACACAACTTACACCACCTGATACAGTTTTTCAATATCATTCATACGTGTATTGCCGAAGACAAGCTGCCGGAATTAATTCAACACATTAAATTGCAGGGATGTAATAATGCTATAGATTATAGTATTAAGCCAAATGCTAAAACAAGCAAAAATGATAAGGGAAAAGGTTTTGCTATTATCAGGGACGGGCTGTAACTAATTATATGTAAGATTTGGATTTATTGAG